TCGCAATTATGGGGTCCGAACGCTCTGTTGTTCAGCACACAAATATATGTAGTAAAAAACACCTCATAGCAGACGAAATTTCGTTGTTTCAATGCCGGGACATTCATCTGCCCATGAAGAGTAGGGTGCAGGTCATAAGGTGTCATTAACAGTGCTAGCGAAATTCTCATTATAGCTTATCTTTGATCTCGGTAACACTGCACCGACCTTGCAGTCGTTTCCTGAAATTGTCTTGATAGACTGCCCGGTCATCTCTCTGTCCTCTATAAACTATAAACTTTGCACAATAAATGAATTCCAACAGGTTTCAAGCTGTGCTCGATTTTACTACCTATAGAGCTCCTATCTGGACGAGAAACATTATCGGAAGGCGATCGTTTGAGAATTCAGTATCGAGATCATTCCGTGAGTTCACTCTGCCACAGATATTCGAATTTGGTAATACATAACTGAGCAGTCACCCAGTTCAGTGTTACGCCTATTGAAGAGTGAAGTCTTGTATGATTCGACGCCTGCAGTTTTACGGTCTATTCTGCCCGTTCCCATCACTAAACAGCAGGTGCTCTGAGCCACAGGTCCAACACCTTCATGACGAATCACACTGTGGTGTGTAATTAAAAGAAATACTTCGATAATACTATGTTCATCTTTCTCCATTTGCTGATCAAAAGTGTTCAACGACAACAATCAGAGAAATTGCACCGTAAGTGGTTGAAAGAAGTCAAGCATTATTCCGCCATTTTGATGCAGCTTTAACGGAGTTGTGGGGAAACAACTGTCGAACAGTGAAACGTATTGAGGCAGTGATTCACTGTCTACAGAAAAGATAGAGTGCATTGACTCTTCCAACAGGTCTCTAACGCGTTTCCTTTTCCAACAGTACACTGAAATTCTTTGTTAATATTGCAATCACCACAGATTGGACCACATTCAACACTCCTGCCCAGCCAGCACGCGCTCAAGTTGAAATCGTCTTTTGAACTTGACTCGATTTTGATGGGTGCTTCCGGCAGTCGATGTGACTTGGGGGCTCCTCAAGTTCAGAATCAAATAACAAAGAAGCATCTATTTCATTGTTTAAGTAAAAGAGCTACATCGTCCGACGGAGTATGAAATGGCGGGCTTTCGATTCATCGGCAGTGACTGAAACCAGGCTGGTATCAAAGACAGTGATAATTTAATAGCAAACAGTAATTGTACCATTGCAGCACGGGCCCGGTGCCAAGATCGCACTCTAACTACGCATAGAAGAATCATAATCAGATAAGAAAACAAACGCCAGTGTTCATGTGACTAAGATGATCTGACCGAATTTTCTCGGGCATTCATTAGGTATACCACCCCCACCTCCCAACGGGTAGACAGATTGTACAATCACGGAACGCACTATAATGGAGGTCACGTGGTTTGATTTAATCGGACGGTATTCATTCGCCGAATCACTGACTCAGGAGAACGTAGACATCTCTGCCACATAGCCCCAGGAGCCTNCGCATTGTACACCTGTAACGCACTTTTCCAAATCCGACAAACAGTTGCGGATGCACCCAGCGCTAGTGCTACATGAGCAGGTAAATTGTCTACGCACTTGCCTATGAAATGCGTACACCCGAACAAACTACTAGGCACGCGTGTATGTCTGTGAGACCAGT